GCCAGCGTCTCTACGGGCTTCGGTAGCAGCTCCGTTCAGCGTCTCTACGGGCTTCGGTAGCAGCTCCGTTCAGCGTCTTTACGGGCTTCAGTAGCAGCTCCGTTCAGCGTCTCTACGGGCTTCAGTAGTACTTCGTTCAGCGTCTCTACGGGCTTCAGTAGCAGCTCCGTTCAGCGTCTCTACGGGCTTCAGTAGCAGCTCCGTTCAGTGTCTCTACGGGCTTCAGTAGCAGCTCCGTTCAGCGTCTCTACGGGCTTCAGTAGCAGCTCCGTTCAGTGTCTCTACGGGCTTCAGTAGCAGCTCCGTTCAGTGTCTCTACGGGCTTCAGTAGTGGCTTCGTTCAGCATCTCTACGGGCTTCAGTAGCGGTGACAGCCAGCGTCTCTACGGGCTTCAGTAGCGGTGACAGCCAGCGTCTCTACGGGCTTCGGTAGCAGCTCCGTTCAGCGTCTCTACGGGCTTCAGTAGCAGCTCCGTTCAGCGTCTTTACGGGCTTCAGTAGGGGCTTCGTTCAGCATCTCTACGGGCTTCAGTAGTAGCTTCGTTCAGCATCTCTACGGGCTTCAGTAGTAGCTTCGTTCAGCATCTCTACGGGCTTCAGTAGTAGCTTCGTTCAGCATCTCTACGGGCTTCAGTAGTAGCTTCGTTCAGCGTCTTTACGGGCTTCAGTAGCAGCAATGTTCAGCGTCTCTACGGGCTTCAGTAGCGGTGACAGCCAGCGTCTCTACGGGCTTCAGTAACAGTGACGACCAGCGTCTCTACGGGCTTCAGTAGCAGCAACGTTCAGCGTCTCTACGGGCTTCAGTAGCGGTGACAGCCAGCGTCTCTACGGGCTTCAGTAGCAGCAACGTTCAGCGTCTCTACGGGCTTCAGTAGCGGTGACAGCCAGCGTCTCTACGGGCTTCAGTAGCAGTGACGACCAGCGTCTCTACGGGCTTCAGTAACAGTGACATCTGGCGTCTCTACGGGCTTCAGTAGCAGTGACGACCAGCGTCTCTACGGGCTTCAGTAACAGTGACATCCGGCGTCTCTACGGGCTTCAGTAGCAGTGACGACCAGCGTCTCTACGGGCTTCAGTAGCAGTGACATCCGGCGTCTCTACGGGCTTCAGTAGCGGTGACGACCAGCGTCTCTACGGGCTTCAGTAGCAGTGACGACCAGCGTCTCTACGGGCTTCAGTAGCGGTGACATCCGGTGTCTCTATGGGCTTCAGTAACAGTGACATCTGGCGTCTCTACGGGCTTCAGTAGCAGTGACGACCAGCGTCTCTACGGGCTTCAGTAACAGTGACATCTGGCGTCTCTACGGGCTTCAGTAGCAGTGACATCCGGCGTCTCTACGGGCTTCAGTAGCGGTGACGACCAGCGTCTCTACGGGCTTCAGTAGCAGTGACGACCAGCGTCTCTACGGGCTTCAGTAGCGGTGACGACCAGCGTCTCTACGGGCTTCAGTAGCAGTGACGACCAGCGTCTCTACGGGCTTCAGTAACAGTGACGACCAGCGTCTCTACGGGCTTCAGTAACAGTGACATCTGGCGTCTCTACGGGCTTCAGTAGCGGTGACATCCGGCGTCTCTACGGGCTTCAGTAGCAACGACAACCAGCTGGTTGGATCTGCTCTGAAAGGCCTTGATCAGAATTTGCAGATCGCATTTTTTAAATGAAGATCAGGTGCAGCCACTCAATACATTATCGAGGAACTTTTATCCGCTGCACTTGAATCACACAAATAAAAATTCATTTACCGAAAAAAGTAAACCAATACTGTTCGCAATATTAAACCGAAACGGTACGCAAGTGGACCGAACCAAAATGGTTCAACACTCCCCCGTGAACCGTTACACCCCTAATACCCATCATTAGACTCTGGTTTGAAGTCCGATCAGCTATTTGCCATCTGATAACAAAGACAAAATGATAGCTTATCAAACAACTTTTAATTAACGTTGTAACCTGTTACATTCGCTGCCAGCATTTCTCAACGTTTTTACTGTCTTTTAAAGAGTGGCAGAACGTTGCGCGCCAGGATGATGTTGACGCCAAAACAACCAAAATAAAGCAGAGACTCTCCTCTTACATCAGGAAGAATCCGTGTTTCGAGCGTTATCCGTTCTTTAATAATTCGTTTTTGAATTGTGATCGGCAGAAGCTTTCCTGGTTCGCGCCTCACTTTTTTTACAGCAGCGGCCCAAAACGATCTCCTAACACATGGATGTTCTGTTTCCTGATCACGTGACGTGTGACGTACACGGATCAAGATCGGCTTTAGAGCTGAGATGTTTGTTCTCACGTTGCGGGGGCTCGTCCGAGACCCACACAGTAAAAACATGCGGTTGGATCTAAAGTGAGAACTTTAGTCATCAATGGCAGTGAATGAGTTAATACAAATGATTTTATTGGCTCACAAAGCAAATAGAGCGCCGTGATTTGCCCACCATCGTGGACCAATCACAGAGCTCAATAGGATTAAAACCCCCTATAGAGAGCTGTGATTGGCCAGCCAGAATGCTGCTTGGGGCTGCGGAGGTTCCAATGGAGCGTTCCTAGACCAAACTTTGAAAAGCAAGACTTTGGTCTAGTTCACTAGGCTAACAATAACTTTCATTACAGGAGCAAAAATGGAGAGTAAAGAAATAAGAAAATATAAAATAGAAATATTTAAAAGATGCATAAAAATAAATGCTGAATATATTTGCACATTTTAAGGAATAAATATTTTCAAAATTGAGACATAAAGATTACCACTGATGTGTGCTTTTATTGAAAATCGATTTGCTTGTGTATAATTTTAGTTATTCCACATTCGGTGTTTCTGCTAAAATGAGTTTGTTTCCAAATGAAAAGGTTCAGCGTACACGTCTGTAGATGAAGGAAAATGTGCACTTTTGTCGTCACTTTTTAAAAACTACTGTGTTTGGCCCGCAACTTCGGCCCAGTGTTCGAGTTTGACACCCCGTGCTATAAATGCTTGAGAAGTGTAAGAACCCTGGCATGTGCGTGTGTGTGCATGCTCTTCAGGCAGAGCAGAAGTTTCCTCTTCACGATCCAGAATGATGATTAATCGTGCGTGTGGGAAGCCCCCGCTGGCTGATTCCATCTGCCAGTCAGTGGCTCCTTCTAATGGTAGGCATGAATTTAAGCCGGCCAATCAGTCAGTAGACCAGTGTGGACCAGTTCAGCCCCATGCAGCGCATCACTGCAGACGCTGAACCAATCCGCCTGTCGATCTCCCGATCCCTCCTACCCTCACTCGTGAACAAGACCCCGAGATACTTAAACTCCTCCGCTTGAGGTAGGACCTCTCCCCCGACCCGGAGTTGGCAAGCCACCCTTTTCCGGTCGAGAACCATGGTCTCAGATTTGGAGGTGCTGATCCTCATCCCAGTTGATACTGTAAGAGAATAAACACTACAGGCCTTCCATTTTGTTTAACACTGCTTGTATTGTGTTGGTTGGTTATGTTCTGGTGACGTGTAGAACGTGGGAGTGCAGGCTGCTGCCTGAGAGGTGGTTGGAGACGGAGTGTCTCCATGCTGCTTCGTTTTGGTCACTTATGTGCGTGAGGCGAGTGGTGTTACGACCCTTCCTGGGGAGTTTGGCTCGTGTGCAAAAAGGAAGGGTCAATAACGGGATTTAAAAGTTAAAATGATGATCAGGTTTATTTACAACTACAAAAAATCATAAATCTTTCCATCCACAGGTTGGGAATAATAAAACTAATTCTGCCTGTGGGGAATTAAAACAAAAGTACAAATAACCTGGGATGTCCCACTGGGCAAAGATTACTGGGTTCTGGACCAAAATAAGGATCTCCAAAGGTCCAAACTCTAAACTGGGTGGTTAAACCAAACTCAGGGTGATATTTTACACTAAACCGAAAACCCACAACACTCTAAATGTAATAAAAGGGAGATCTACACCACAAAAAAAGATGAACTCTAAACCAAAACGTAACAGCTTATCCAAACGCAAGAAGCTGTTAGCGAAGATGCTAACAGTAGCTTTACCAACGTTAAGTTCAAGTTACCACGTTTAAATAAACCAAAAACACCCAGCAGCAAACAGACCAGCACGGAGGAGAGACTGCTACCACCAAAACAGCTCTCCTCATGTCTGAAAGAAGCTCCTTAATGAAGGGAGAAGCGCTCCCGGTGATTTTCTACATCTGCGATAGACACGAAGCAGCGCATCTGACCCCGGAAGTTGTTGTCCGTTGCCGAGAGATGAAGGGGCAAAACAGGATAGGAATCTAGTAGTGGACGGACGTTGTTCCGGGTCTTCGGTATTTGGTGGAGATGTTAGTGAAGGTGGAGAAGAGGGCGAACTAGAGGAAAAACAGGCAGATTCCTCCTCTACTTACTAACTCCTGGGGATGCAACAAGTGGGCGTGGTGCGTCGACTTCCGGATCTGACCTGACGAACTTTTAGAATCGAGCCGTCGACGTCATCGACGCTTCGCTACAGCCCTATTGTATGGGAACACTTCCTGCTGTATGTTGGCGAGTGGAGCCAGCCCGAGTGTGGAAGCCCTACTCTCCACCCCACTGTGTCACAAAGACCAGACATCAGTTAGACCTTCCTCTGATCGGTGCTGGCTGCTCCCAGCAGACCCAGATTGTGTTCTGGAGCTGTGAGTTTACCTGACTGACCCCGCCCACCTCGTTGACTAGCTAAGAGTTTCTGGGTGGGAGGATGAGCAGTCGTGTCGGTCACAGATTTCTGATCTGCTATTTTAAAACGTCACAGTCATTGTAGGGAGGGAGGTGTCCATGTTTGGTATGTGAGTAGAGCCAGGAAGACCCACCTGGACGACTGTACCTCTGTCATGTCTGGTTTCAGAACTGTGCAGGAACATTTGTGGCTCCAACAGGTGGATGCTAGGTGTCTGATTCATTTCTTTGTTTTCCCCTATGTGTGTGTGTGTGTGTGTGTGTGTGTGTGTGTGTGTGTGTGTGTGTGTGTGTGTGTGTGTGTGTGTGTGTGTGTGTGTGTGTGTGTGTAGATGACAGTGATGATGACAGGGATGTGAGCCGAAAGCGTACGGTGCGGCAGGCAGCCTCCAAGGCCGTGTCCAAACAGAGAGAGATCTTGTTGGGAGATGGAGGCAGTGAGGATGAGGAGCATGAAGACCAGGAGGAGCCCTACATGGACCGTACGTACAGCAGATCTAACACCTGATTTTTCCTTGTGAATGATCCTGAGCAGAGTCATGAAGTAGGAAAACCGTCCGTCTCTTTGTTTTGACGTGCAGCTGACGAATCTGGCAGCGATGAAGACTTCATGGTGGAGGACGATGATGACAGTGACTACGGGCGCTCCAAGAAAAAGAGCAAGAAGGTGATCCGACGGGGGCGACCAGACAAGAAAGAGAAGAAGAGCCCCAAACCCAGACTAAAGGCTACAGGTGAGCTGCCGCTCATCGTTAAGCCTGCAGCACTCGAGGGGAAACTGCTGGGCAGACGCCTCGCTGTGCGCGCCTGATCTTCACGGACTTTTCTACCTCGCGAGACGCTGAGGTGAATATCTGACCGCCTCCCGGGGGGTAAACACTCACTGTGTGTGCGCTACATGAGCTGCTGGCTGAGCTGAAATATTCTAGTGGCCAATCAAAGCGTGTTCTCCGCTCACATGACTTAAGATGTATTCAGGTGCAGCCCCCCATCTGCGTGTCAGAAAAATAAACAAAGCGGTACCTCGTGGATCGATGGGCCACCATTTCCACTACCCTCTCGAAGCATTCAGGATCCAGGTGGCGGTACTGTCGGAAGCATTCTGGGTCTTCAAGGTGCGTCTCCTGGAGTAGATTGGCATAAACTCCTTGCCCGGCCCTTCTCTTCAGCCACCGCACCCATACTTCCCTAACCTTGAAATGCCTCATCAGCAAAAAAAGTAGAGGCGTTCCTCCGTTTCCAGCTCTGTCTCCGTTTTATTTTCTGATATGCAGACAGGGGGCTGCCATCTTGGGGTCATGTGAGCGGAGAACGTGCTTTGATTGGCCACTAGAATATTTCAGCTCAGCCAGCAGCTCATGTGGTACGCACACAGCAAGTTTTTAACCCCCATGAGGCAGTAAATATCAAACCAGTCAGATATTAGTAAGTGAAAATGATGATTAAATATAGTAAGAAAATTTAAAAACAACAATTCTACAGATGTACATGGAATGATATAGGAATTATAAAAGAAGTTATATTTTCTATTGAGACCATTGACACATATATATATATATATATAACCTATCATTACATAAAGGATATTTTCCTAAAACTATGAAGATAACAAAGTGATCCCAATATTTTAAAATGGAGATAAACATTCTATGGAAAACTACAGATCAGCAGCAATTATTCCACAATTTTCGAAAATACTAGATGAATTATTTGTGAACCAGCTAGACGTATATATTACTAAAAATAAATTATTAAGTGACAGTCAATATGGATTTAGGAAAAACAGAACCACTACCTGTGCAATAATGCAGACGGTAGAAGAAATAGCACAAGCAAGTGAAAAGGAAGAACTCTCTATTAGCATATTTGTAGATTTAAAGAAGGCTTTTGACACCATTGACCACAGGAGATTATTGAGAAAGATGGAGAATTATGGCCTACGAGGTATAGCGAAGTCCCGGATAGAGAGTTACTTAAAAGACAGACAACAGTGTGTAAAAATTAAAGATATAAAATCTGGATTTAGAGAAATAAGTTGTGGAGTTCCACAAGGGTCAGTAATAGGTCCTATATTATTTATTTTATATATAAATGACATATGTAACGTGACGAAAATTTTCTAAGTTATAATGTTTGCAGATGATACAAATTTAGTTTGTTCAGGTAAAGATATAAAAGAAAAAGAGTTAAATATCCTGAAATCTTGGTTTGATGTAAATAAATTATCACTGAATATAAAAAACTAAATTATGATTTTTGGAAATAAGAAGGTAAAAAATGGGGACTTTAAATTAACAATTTCAGATACTAAAATTGAAAGAGTGTCTGAAATGATTTCTTGGCGTTGTGATTGACTCTAACTTATCCTGGAAGCATCAATTAAATTATATAAAAAGAAAAATTGCAAAATCTTTGGGTTTATTATATAAAGTGAAAGACAAGCCTTACGTTTAATATAAATTTGATTGATTGATTGATTGATTGACTGATTGATTGAAAAGGGCATGAAAAGGAGATGCATCTCTGTAATGGGAGTACAATTTTGGAATGAGGCTAAAATAGAATTTAAATTAGCAACTTCACTCCCAGTTTTTAAAATACTTTTGACGAGTATTAATTAGATGTTGGTGGATTGGTTTGTGTTTTTATTTTTGGTTATTGGCACATTGAGGGAAATTGATTTGTAAGTAGGTTAGGCAATTCTGTAAGCTTTTGCTTCTGCCTAAACCTGTTCAGTTATGAGATACTAAATATACACGATATGCAAATGTATGAATATATATGTTTGTGGAGGAATGGAAATACAGAGTGCAGAATTATTAGGCAAATGAGTATTTTGTCCACATCATCCTCTTCATGCATGTTGTCTTCCTCCAAGCTGTATAGGCTCGAAAGCCTACTACCAGTTAAGCATATTAGGTGATGTGCATCTCTGTAATGAGAAGGGGCGTGGTCTAATGACATCAACAGCCTATATCAGGTGTGCATAATTATTAGGCAACTTCCTTTCCTTTGGCAAAATGGGTCAAAAGAAGGACTTGACCGGCTCAGAAAAGTCAAAGATAGTGAGATATCTTGCAGAGGGATGCAGCAGTCTTAAAACTGCAAAGCTTCTGAAGCGTGATCATCGAACAATCAAGCGTTTCATTCAAAATAGTCAACAGGGTCGCAAGAAGCGTGTGGACAAACCAAGGTGCAAAATAACTGCCCATGAAGTGAGAAAAGTCAAGCGTGCAGCTGCCAAGATGCCACTTGCCACCAGTTTGGCCGTATTTCAGAGCTGCAACATCACTGGAGTGCCCAAAAGCACAAGGTGTGCAACACTCAGAGACATGGCCAAGGTAAGAAAGGCTGAAAGACGACCACCACTGAACAAGACACACAAGCTGAAACGTCAAGACTGGGCCAAGAAATACCTCCAGACTGATGTTTCTAAGGTTTTATGGACTGTTGAAATGAGAGTGAGTCTTGATGGGCCAGATGGACGGGCCCGTGGCTGGACTGGTAAAGGGCAGAGAGCTCCAGTCCGACTCAGACGCCAGCAAGGTGGAGGTGGAGTACTGGTTTGGGCTGGTATCATCAAAGATGAGCTTGTGGGGCCTTTTCGGGTTGAGGATGGAGTCGAGCTCAACTCCCAGTCCTACCTCTGGAAGACACCTTCTTCAAGCAGTGGTCCAGGAAGAAGTCTGCATCCTTCAAGAAAAACATGATGTTCATGCAGGACAACGCTCCATCACACGCGTCCAAGTACTCCACAGCGTGGCTGGCAAGAAAGGATATAAAAGAAGAAAAACTAATGACATGGCCTCCTTGTTCACCTGATCTGAACCCCATTGAGAACCTGTGGTCCATCATCACATGTGAGATTTACAAGGAGGGAAAACGGTACACCTCTCTGAACCGTGTCTGGGAGGCTGTGGTTGCTGCTGCACGCGATGTTGATGGTGAACAGATCAAAACACTGACAGAATCCATGGATGGCAGGCTTTTGAGTGTCCTTGCTAAGAAAGGTGGCTATACTGGTCGCTGATTTGTTTTTGAATGTCAGAAATGTATATTTGGAAATGTGGAGATGTTATACTGGTTTCACTGGTAAAAATAAATAATTGAAATGGGTACATATTTGTTTTTGTTAAGCTGCCTAATAATTCTGCACAGTAATAGTCACCTGCACACACAGATATCCCCCTAAAATAGCTACAACTACAAACAAACTAAAAACTACTTCCAAAAACATTCAGCTTTGGTATGAATGAGTTGTTTGGGTTCATTGAGAACATGGTTGTTGTTCAATAATAAAATTATTCCTCAAATACAACTGGCCTAATAATTCTGCACTCCCTGTATATGTAGATATTCGTATGATATGTTACTGTTTACATCAATTATTTTTACAATGACTGAATAAAATTGATCATTCATTCATTCATATCCACCTCAGCATCTGGTGAGGTGGAAAGGTTGGTGAGAATCAGGCTAACACGGCGAGGAACCTGCTGAGCAGTCGTCCGAGGCCGCTTGGCCTCGTGTGCGGCAGGCTCTAGACGCTTCATCATGGAGGGTTAAACCAGAGTCATGTGGTTGTGAAAAGGTTCTCTCTGATGTTGTCATTCTGCTGAGTTTTTAGAAATACACACAGCAGGATTCAAACCCACAACCCCACAGGTGGTAAACCAAAAATGATTCTGTCTCACCCATAGTCACCCCCAGTCCTACGAAGGGGAAGGGGAAGGGACGCCCCAGCACCAAGAGTGTGGAGAAGAGCTCACCCAAAGAGGAAGAGGAGGAGGAAGAGCCTGAGAGTCCTCTGGAGGAGGAAGAAGAGGAAGCAGAGAAAAAGGAGTCATCCCCCGCCTCCAAGACAGCAAAGGAGTCAGCAGGAGGAGAGGAAGAGGAGGAAGATGAAGAGGAGGAGAATGGCTCAGAAGAGGATGCTCCCTCTGGAGAAGACTAGAAGATGGTACCCGTGTGAAGCCCCCCCCTCAATGTGTTTGTTTTATTTTATCTGCATTTAGTTTTTGCCCCCCTCCCTCGGCCTGGCTCAACAGGTTGGACTTTTTTCCTGCACCTCCACCCTGTCTTCTCTCTGGGTGTAGGTGAGCATCCGTCCTTCAGAGCGGCGCTAATGTTTACTTCCTGTCTCCAGTGACGAGTTCGCCGGTGTCCTGTAGGAGCGAGCAGCAGGGTTGGTGCTTTTAGCAGGGAGGCGCTTGTCTTGAACGCAGCCTCGTCCTTCCTCCCCGTCCCACACCAGCGCTGACCAACATTTCTCTGAAGTTGCGAGTGCAGCTGCAGCTTTCTGGGCGCCCACCTCCTGTCTTCATGTTTTTATTTGTTTGCCTGTCAGCAGGTCTTTAAACCTTAAACGTGCTTCTGTTTTCTATCAGCACCTCCCTGCATGGCTGCAGCTCCCCAACCCTCAACCCCTTGAGCCAGGCACCACCAAATCCCATTGGTTTTTAAGAAAGGGGGTTGGATTTTTGTTTCGAGAGCTGAAGAGATGAATGTTTTTCTTTCCCCTGTCGGTTCATTGTTCTTGTTCTCGACTCGGATTTTTTTGTAATGTTTGTTTTTTAAGAAAAATAAATAAAATGTATCTTGGTTTTAAAGAAATGAAGTCGAGCCAATCCAGTCTGTTCCAGTCAGGCGATGGTTGGACCGGCCATCCTCCTGTAACCCCCCCCACCCCTCCGGCTCTGGCGTCACGTCAGTTTGGTTGTTTGAGACTTTCTGTTGTCCGCTCTAGTGTCTCGTGGGATTGTGGATGTAGACGGAGATCAGACAGCTTGGTGTTCATTAGTCTGTTAATGCCTTAATTTTATTGACTTGAGTTCCTCTTGTGGCTGTGACCTCTGAAGGCCTGAGAATGTAACACATTCAGGCTGGAAGCAGGTCACCCGTTGGTCCAAAGCCATACACCGCCTCGGAGATCAGGTCAGCACTTGTCACATTCTTTTCCCGGATGAGTTTGATGTCAAAACGTTGTGAAAAAGAAGCTCAAATTGCAATCTTGGGTGTGTTTATGTGGAGTTGTCCAAGACTGCAAGAAGTTGTAGATGAAAACAAGACCAGGACCAGGACCCCAGCGCAGAAGCACATTGATTGTTTTTCCTTGCAGGTTTTCAGGACTAGTGGAATTGTGTGAGAGTAGCCGATGGCTCTGGACCGTTGCAGGATCAGACAGAATCCTCCTCATCCATCCACATCTGTCGCTTTTATTTTTTTTTTACTCCGTCGGTTCTTCTGGCTGTGTTCTTGTAATCCAGGCTGACTTCTGCAGAGATCCAGTAGGGAAGCTTTTGTCAGCGATGTGGAAATTAAACAGAATTCCTCAAATTTTTTTGCATGTTGTGGAAAAATGACAAAGGTCTTAAGGAAAAAAGTATTACTGATCTTGATGTTTTGGTTTCCCAGCTTCTAATAAAGGCGACCTACTTTTTATACAGATGAACTAGTATTGTGTTGTTGAGCTTTGTGTGGTTTCATTAACTGCAGTACTCCACTTTCACCACTAAAGGGCGCTGCTGAGCAGTTGGTGCAGCTTCAGCCACTAAAACCCTACAAGATGGTTTTTGCAGCATCACATAAAAACCTCACATCTGCAGATCTCAATCACATCTCCAATTAGAGGAATAAATCCGTTTTAAATGATCAAAAACTGAAAATATTAAGTTCTTGACCAAGTGTTTTCTCTGGTTCACAGCAGCCAGATCATTTACAACTTAATATAAGAAGAGTCAGTGGAGCACAGCTTGGCTGGTTTATTGTTGCTTTTGGTTTGGCTGTTCATAAGCTGATCTTATTTTATAATGTATTTTCCCCTTTCTAAATAATTTAATGCTTTTCAGGCGTAGGCTGCTTTCAAAACTAACGTTTTCAGAAGGTTTATATTTAGCAAATATTTCATCATTTGAACCAATGTGGCTTTCACAAGTACTTTTCTATTAAGTTATGTGAAACATGGGATTATTAAAACAGGAGAGATGTTCAACCATCATTTCAGATGGTTTATTGTGAACAGCTTGTCCAACTCCACCCATTTAAACCTTTAACTGGCTTTGTGAAGAATCAACAGAAAATGGCAGACGTTGAAATCCCTCACCTTTCAGAGAAATTTGCCATTTTGAATCCAAAATGGGTCGCCTGCGTGCATAGGCAAAAATCCCAGAGGGGACATGTCCCCCTCTGGCATTATTTGTCCCCTCCAAAAAAGTGTTCAATGAAAGCAGAGCTAGAGTTCTGATGAAAAATAAAAAGAGATCATATCTCTCCTGTCCTAGCTTCCCTACATTGGCTACCTGTTAAATTCAGAATAGGTTTTAAGATCCTTCTTCTCACATATAAAGCTCTTAATAATCAAGGTCCATCATACATCAGTAATCTGATTGTTCCATACGTTCCTAACCGAGCACTTCGCTCTCAGACTGCAGGTTTACTGGTGGTTCCCAGAATATCTAAAATTAGGATGGGAGGCAGATCTTTTAGTTATCAGGCTCCTCTCCTGTGGAACCAGCTCCCAGCTTTAGTCCGTGAGGCAGACACCTTGTCTACTTTTAAGAATAGGCTTAAAACATTTTTATTTGATACGGCCTATGGTTAAAATCTGATGTTAGCCTAGATCTGGACAAGTGGGGGAGTAGAGGGAGGTGGAGTGTACAGTCGGTAAAGACGGCTCTCCCTTGCCCTGCCTCCAACATGCCTCCATCTAAATAGGATAGATTATCCAGAGTTATCTCTGTAGTTATGCTGCTATAGGCTTAGACTGCTGGAGGATACACTGACCACTTTTCACACTCTACTGGTTTATTCTACAGTCTGCTCTTTAACTGTATTATTTCCTGCTATTTCAGCTGTTAACTTTATTTTCTCTCTAAGTGTTTTTCTCCCCAGAAGAAGCTACAACGATGTTCTGCTGAGCTGTGGTGGCCTCATGGAGGGGGCCATCGACTAGCACACTGCTGCTAACCACTTAAACATTCTCCCTCTCCTGATAATAACTTTTTGTTTTCATTGACGTTGGATGTGCTACTACTAGTTTATCCGTTTAATTATAGATCCACTAGGATGAATACAATAACGTTTATCTTTCACCAAATAGAATATTTACTAAGAAATCACAATATAACTATAGACACATTACTTTGTGTGTGTGTGTGTGTGTGTGTGTGTGTGTGTGTGTGTGTGTGTGTGTGTGTGTGTGTGTGTGTGTGTGTGTGTGTGTGTGTGTGTGTGTGTGTGTGTGTGTGTGTGTGTGTGTGTGTGTGTGTGTGTGTGTGTGTGTGTGTCTGCTCTGTCTTCTCCATCCCCAGTGAGTCGTGGAGGATGGCTGCTTATACTGAGCCAGAATTCTCTGGAGGTTTCTTCCTGTTAAAAGGGAGTTTTCCTCTCCACTGTCGCTGCATGCTTGCTTAGTATGAGGATTGCTGTAAAGTCTCTGACACTAGTCAGTGACTCGATGCAACCTGCTGGGTTCCTTATATAGGAAACTTTTCTGATTGGCCGAATGATCTGACCTGTATTGGAATGTTTACTGTTTATGTATTTAGCAGACGCTTTTGTCCAAAGTGACTTACAAGTGATAATCGGCATGCTGCCCTTGAGGCTAACAATAACAACAACAACAAACAATTTCCAGCCAGTCGTAGGTGGCAGTGAGGCAGCATGATGAATCATGGAGAGGAGGGAACAAGGAGTGGACAGTAGAGGGGGGGGACGGGTGCAGGGAGGGTGCTAGTTTAGAAGATGCTCTCTGAAGAGCAGGGTCTTCAGGAGTTTCTTGAAGATTGAAGAGGAAGCTCCTGTTCTGGTAGTGCTTGGAAGGTCATTTCACATTTGTGGAACGATGCATGAGAAGAGTCTAGATTGTCCTGAGCGTGGTGTAGGCACTGCTAGCCGACGATCTTGTGATGACCAGAACGGCCGGGCCGAGACGTAAGCCTTTGCAAGAGGATTCAGGTAGATGGGAGCCGTACCATCTCAGACTTTGTATGCTAGTGTTAGCTATTTGAATTTGATGCGTGCTGCTAGCGGTAGCCAGTGGAGCTCAATGAACAGAGGGGTGACGTGTGCTCTTTTTGGCTGATTGAAGACCAGACGCACCGCTGTGTTCTGGACCATTTGAAGAGGTCTCACAGTACAGCCTGGAAGACCAGTTAGAAGGGCATTGCAGTAGTCGAGGTGGGAGATGACAGTAGATTGCACCAGGAGCTGGGTGGCATGTTGTGTTAGGTATGGTCTGATCTTTCGTATGTTATACAGCGTAAAGCGGCATGAACGAGCAACAGAGACAACATGATCAGAGAGACAGTTTGATATTCGTGCAGAGACAGTGTGGTCAGCCGGTGGAAATGACAGAGTTGGGTGTCGTTGGCATAGCAGTGGTAGGAGAAGCCATGTGATCGAAGGATCTCACCCAGTGAGGTGGTGTATATGGCAAAGAGAAGAGGTCCTAGTACAGAGCCCTGGGGGACTCCTGTGGCAAGATGGTGCATGGTAGAGGATTGTCCAAGCCAAGATACACTGAATGATCGTCCTGTGAGGTACGATTCAAACCAGGCGTGTGCTTTCTCTGTGATGCCCATGCTAGAGAGTGTGGACAAAAGGAAGCCATGGTTGACAGTGTCAGATGCAGCCGATAAGTCGAGCAGGATAAGCACTGAGGATTTGCCCGTCGCTCTAGCTTCTTTTAAGGATTCAGTCACTGCTAACAGAGCAGTTTCAGTGGAGTGGCCCTTTCTGAACCCAGATTGGTAAGGGTCAAGCAGACAGTTTTGTGAGAGGTATTCTGTGATCTGCTTGAAAGCCACCCTTTCAATGATTTTGGACAGAAAAGGGAGGAGAGAGATAGGTTGGTAGTTCTCCACATGATTTGGAGGAAGAGATGTTTTTTTAGCAGCGGTTTAACCTGAGCATGCTTGAGGGAGGTGGGAAATGTACCAGATGTCAGTGAAGTGTTGATCACATGTGTGACTGCTGCGGCTACTGTAGGAGCAATAGCTTGGAGCAGCTTAGTCGGAATGGGGTCCAGTGGGCATGTAGTAGGGCGGCTGCACGTGAGAAGCTTGGACACACACAGTTCTCAGTGAGAGGGTAAAAAGAGGAAAATGAAGCAGTAGGGCCTGAGATGGTTGGGCCAGAAGGAGTTTGTGGTAGTGAATGTTCAGGAGTAGCCAGTTGAGTAAACAGTTTCCCAGATACAGTTCCCATAAAACATTCCCATAAAATTCATCATCCAGTCTGGATTTGGTTTGTACCCGTCCATCACTAGGTTCACCTTTGTGTGCGCTTTCGTAAAGAAAATAATCCAGCCTGGTTTTTTTATTCAATAATTGGAATTCCTTTATGTTTAATTAGTAAATGAAACCATGATAAATGAGCCACACTTGTATAGCGCCTCTCAGAGTAAGGACTCCAAAGCGCTTTACAGAGTATCATTCATCCATTCACACACACACATTCACACACTGATGGTGATGAGCTACGATATAGCCACAGCTGCCCTGGGGCGCACTGACAGGTGAGGCTGCCGAGCAGGCAAGGTGGGTTAAGTGTCTTGCCCAAGGACACAACAGCAGAATTCTCTGTCCAGAGCCGGGATCGAACCTGCAACCTTCCGATTACTGTACAACCCGCTCAACCTGTTGAGCTACTGCTGCCCATGCAGTAGCCGAGTAGTGTTTGGATTAAATGATTTAAAATTGTCTGTCACACCACACTTATCCTTTATGTTAAAGGAAATACACACCCAAACCAGGAAAGTATTTTGATGAATATTTATTAGTAGTAATACAAACTGTTTAAAAAAAACTGTCTGTTACATGTGCAAGCAAAGTATAAAGTATAATAATAGTAACGCAAACAGTATTAAAGGATTGTGTTACCAGACTGTAATTTGTGTTATGAAGATGAATGCTGGTGTTGAACTTCTTGTGTACCACTACAGGTGCTGGCCAGTAAATTAGAATATCATCAAAAGGTTGAAAATATTTCAGTAATTCCATTCAAAACGTGAAACTTGTACATTATATTCATGCAATGCACACAGACCAATGTATTTCCGATGTTTATTACGTTTAATTTTGATATTTATAGGTGACAACCAATGAAAACATCAAATCTGGTATCTCAGAAAATTAGAATATTCTAAAGGCCAATGAAAAAATGTTTGTTTCTCTAATGTTGGCCAACTGAAAAGAATGAACATGAAAAGAATGTGCATGTATAGCACTCAATACTTAGTCGGGGCTCCTTTTGCCTCAATAACTGCAGTAATGCGGCGTGGCATGGACTCGATCAGTCTGTGGCACTGCTCAGGTGTTATGAGAGCCCAGGTTGCTCTGATAGTCGTCTTCAGCTCCTCTGCATTGTTGGGTCTAGCGTATTGCATCCTCCGCTTCACAATACCCCATAGATTTTCTATGGGGTTAAGGTCAGGCGAGTTTGCTGGC